CCCCAAAACCCCAAAACCCCAAAACCCCATTCGATCTTAATGATGAATCTCTAATTGTTAATAACTATTATTTTCATGATTTGAAGGCTTATAAGTGAGTTTTAATGTTATAGCAGGCCAAATTCAAAGTCATTTAAATCTTATTTCGGAGAATAGCTTGATGCTTCTTCGTTCACTTTTGATCTTTTTTAATCACGATATTAACCCAGTCTTAGAGACCAGCTACATCCTGCTGAGACAGCTTATCATAATCCATATCTCTTTCATCAAAATATCTCAATAAAGAACCTTTGTTATCTTTTCCTTCTCCCTTGATTAAATCGTTAACTGCTTTAAGTAACTCTTATGTAGTGTTTTAAATCAATTTCTCATGAGACTTAGTGAAGCTTTAGGTAACTAGTTTACTTGTATGCAAGTATTAAGCTCTTAGGTTAGAAGTGATTATTGCAAAGTAGTCAGTTATCTTTTCTAATTCGCTAATGATATAAGTCTCTTCAAGTTTATCAGAACCAGCTTTCATAACAAGGGCTGACACTATTGAACCCACAAAGACAGTAGGATGAGTAAAGTACATCCCAATCACCATTTTAACTATTTAGGACTGAACCATTCCAATGAGTCCAAACCAAGAGAGATAACTGCTTAGAGTTCTACCAACTTTTACTATACTTTGGCAGAACAACCCTTTGGCACCTTCAAAGGTCTTAAACAACATATTCTCTTGGTCTTTAAGTTAGTGAACTCCCCAGTTATTTCTTATTTTCTGTTCAACTTACTGCATGTCTACATAGTGTGCAATGCCATATTCTTCAATGCGTTCCATCAAATCATCACAGAGTTCCATCAATGCAAACCATTCTGCCAATACTCTGAGGAATTTTTCATATGCTGGCTGGGTTTTAAGGGTATCCATATAGTTTGAAAGATCATTTAGCTACGGCTGAGTCATGTACTTCTCATTTTATCTTAACTTAAATAGATACTGCTCAACCAAAAGGGGTAGATACTTTTAATCTAGATATTCATTATCTATTTTGTTACTCATGTATCCCATTATTACGTCTACTTATAGTAGAGAGTTTCCGTTTGCATCTGTAACATCTGCTAAATACGTCCTCAGCTTATTTAAACTATGCTTTCTCCACATTGAGAACGTTAGAGGCATAAATGGAGGTTCACATTTACCAATCACTTTAATTGCCAAGTCAAACTGTTCTGTGACGCAATGTTCGATAATTTAATCAACTTGAGATTTCCATGGGCTCTCGTTGATAGAATCATCTGTTCCTGTACTTTCTGACACCTAGCTTTAAACACTTATGTTAGAAGCATTCATAGATCTCATGAAAAGATTATCAAGAATTCCTTTGTCTAATTGAGCAACTTCATTCTTATCAGTATTTAAGCACTCGCTCTATTGTAATTAAAAAGAGTTTAAGTATTCCTCCGTCTTCTTGTCTATTTCTTTTCTCTCCATTTGAATATATTTTTGATTAATTGAACTAATTACACGATGCAAATTTAGATACATGGGGTTTTGGGGTTTTGGGGAGATCGG